GCTTATGAGGTTTTCCGTCCATTCCAACAACTAAGAGATAGTGAGAAGAGTTGGGACCTCAGAAGGCTTTTAGGACCAATTAGTAGGCTCTGTGTCCAGGAGAAAATGAATATACTTACCAGTAATGTTAATGCTCATCCACAGCTCTTCTGGGAGGATCTAAATCGTTGATAATCCTTACTCTAGTAATTTTTTTTATTTTTTAATTGATCTGTTAATGAAGGGTTATAGAGAACTTGGATTTCCATTCATTCATTGTTGCACATTTTCCTCCCAGCCCACCCCACCCCCTACTTCGCTTTTCTCTTTAAAAAAAAATTCTTTCATTGTTGTACAGATATTTTTGGAAATCTTGAAGTAGCCTTCAAATCACTGCAACATTTCATTGCTTCTCTTAAAAAGGTAGCTATGATCATCTTAAAGCCATTAGACCATATAGTCTGATGATGGCGATATTCATGGTACTATTCTGAGCTCTTTTATAGGATTGAGAGAGGGTATAGGGTATAGTGTCATGTGAAATTTATACCTAGACCAAGAGGCTGTTGAATGAATAAATCAAGGGAACACGACATGATTTAAAATTAAGATATGTGTCAGAGTTGTATCCTTTCTCCATACCTGTTCAATCTGAGCAAATTATTCTAGGAACTCGAATCTATGAAGAATGTGGCATCAGTATCAGAGGTAGACACATCAATAACCTACATTATGCAGACAGCACAACCTTGCTTGCTGAAAATGAGGACTTTAAGTGCTTGCAGCAGCAGATTAAAGAATACAGCCTTCAAAGTGGATTGCATCTCAGTAAAAAAAATTATTGCATCAATGTGAATACAAAAATTCTCACCACCATAGTGATGAAGACAAGACTGAAACTGTCAACGACTTCATCTTACTTAGATACACAATCAGCCCCCATGGAAAATCTTCAGTCAGGGACCTCTCTGAATTAATGAGGAGCAATGATGTCAGTTTAAGGACTAAGGTGTGTATGATTCACGCTGTGGTCTTAACCGCTTGCTACGCATCTGCAAGCTGGACAATGAGTAAGGAAGAACTGGGGCTTTTGAGCTGTGGTGTTGAAGGGTATTGAGTATCCTATGGACTGCAAAAAGAACAAACAGATGTCTTGGAGAAGGTACAGCCAGAGTGCTCCTTGAAGGCAAAAATAACAAAGCTTTGTCTACTTTGGGTTTGTTGCTACGTGAGGCTATTCCTTGGAGAGGGACATCATGCTTGGAAATGTGGAGGGAGACAGACCCTCAACCGGATGGACTGACAGAGACTGCAGCAA